GTGTGTGGAACGTTTTTTTTTTCTTACAAAGATGTTCACCCTGTACAAGGCCGAGAGCCACCCAAGGTAGAGGTTTAAAGAGTAAGAGGCACAGTTTATGCGGATATGTGGGGAAGGTTAACTTGAGACATCAACAGGTTAAGATTTTAGTGATTGGGGAAGCATCCTTACAGAAGTTGCTTCCACAAAACAGCAGTTCATGGGAAGAAGCGGCTTGAGTGGAATTCACTTCTCACCAATGGAATACAAAGGGAATAAGGGTGCATCATTACAATGTCCATAGCATGGCAGTTCTTAGCCATGAAGGTTAGTACTGGTGGAACTAAGGAATGTAGTTTGTCTGAACACTTTCTGTTGTAACCTAGAGAGGGTTACTGAATGAGGAATAACCAAAACGAAGGTTGGCAATGAAATGGTAATCTTTATAATATCAACAAAATACAAAACTCGCCAGAAGCATGAAGTAGGTAAACCACTGCTAGTGGTGGACTAGTTAGACAGCATATTAGCCCCAACTTACAATAGTGTCCAACGTATTTATGAGAATTGGGACATACCTATTAGTGTTCATAAGTACGGTATATAACACTTTCCATAGAAATAGAGATAGAATAGCAAAAGACTTGCAACATTTAGTCTGTGAGAAAGGAGTTGTAGGGTGGAAAATTTGCAGTTAGAAAAAGTGAATTGATATAGAATGTCAATTCTCTTTAATAAAACTTGTTTTAAAGGACAATTGCTGCCTAATTATAGTGTGTGTGTGTGTATATATATATATATATATATATATATGCTTAATATAAATAAAAGTTTGTCACCTTGTTGATTGATGTTAACTTCAGCATCCAGACTTTCGTAGATGACCTGTCCATCCACTCTTCAGATATAGAATTAATATAAGTAAAAAGTCTGTCATTTAACTGGTTGATGTTACTTTCAGCATCCCAAAAAAACTAAACATATGACAAAAATTGATAACTGTCCTAGTTTGAGGATATTATATATACACACACACACACACACACATGCACACTTAATTTTCAATCCTCAAAGTAGAAAAATTATCAATTTTTTTTTTTTTCATATGTTTAGTTTTATAGTATAATAAAGTGTTTTCATAACCCAACACCTTTAAGCTTCAGGGCTTACAGAAAAAAAATACCGATAGTTTCTTGGGGACAAATTGGGGGTTATATATACACAAACACATAGTATACAAATATATATATAATACACACACACTTTAAAGGAACTGATATGCAAATTTTCAGGATAACAATTGAGTCATTACTTATCGAACTATTTAGTTTATGCTACAGTGACTGATAAACTCCTACAACAAAAGATTCTCAAATTACCAAAAAACACACTCTTAAATTTTCAAAAAATTCAACCTTAGCGTTACGACTGCATGTTCCAAAAGTTTGTATCCATTATCAATAACACATTTCAAAAGACATATTTCAATTCACATTACATATTTGTGTCTCGGATGCTTCCTGAATTTTACCAAAAATATCATTTCCATGCCTGAAGATGACTGAATGCAGAGTCGAAAATACTTGCCTATTTAAGAAAGACGTTATACAGATTATAATTTTAAAAAACAAGGATCATAACATTCATTGAGTGATTGGTAGGTTAATGCATCTTTAAAATTTTGTTAGTGAAAGGATTTCGCCATTTTATATCATTTTTACTAATTTACTTTTTGTATGAATGATTCATTGTAATATATACACTTATAGATGCAGATATATCCAAAGTAAATGAATAGGTATATGGACCTTCATACTAATATGAGTAGATAGGTTCACCTACTGTTCACACTACTCCTTTGTCTTTTGAACAGGAGTAGAGATTTATCTCTTGTTTCCCATTTAGGATTGGGTTTCTGGATCCTTCTAATGTCTACTTCAACTCTATATTCCTAACGCTTGTCCTTTCTTATGCTAATACAACTTCACGTAGTAACCTTCTAGCTTGAGTGGCTTTTGGGCTTTGTATTGGGTGAACATTAGTATAAAAAAAAAAAAAAAAAATTAAAGAAACATCTGAAGAGTCCAAATCTAGTTAAGTACAGATTCAAAATGCGGCTGAAGTTAATGCTTCTAAGTGTTTAAACTCATAAAAAAATATCCTTTTGTACATAGCTGGTTGGGTTTGTGTGTGCACACACACCAATGTCACATTCAATTGCATCACAAAACACTTCTAAGAGAGACAACAGGCCCGTTCCATTAAAAAAAAAAAAAAAAAAAAAAAAAAAAAATCCATTTTTCCTCTCTGTTCTTTCCGCTGAACACAAAGCATAAATTCCCCTCCCCAACTTAGGCTATATTATAGTGTTCCCTCTCCCCTGTCTCACAAATGACAAAACTTAGCTCCTGTGTTTTTCCATAGCACTCTGTGGGTTATATTTTATCTCTAATACATGAAACTATTTTCATGCATATATTTTTTTTTTTTTTTTTAAATCTTTTTGGGAGCCTTTCTCTTAGTTTAGGTATTAGACTGCCACCCTCCTCTTGTTAAAAAAGAAAAAAAAAACAGATTTTTAAAAAACATAACTGGCATCCTTGTTCTTCAAATCATTGTATATCTGATAATTTTTAAAGGTTCAAGGTGGTTTTTAAATGTCTGTTAATTCTAAATATCTTCACACATAAATAGAGAATATATAATAAGAAAAATAATAATAAAAAGAATCATAAAAATAAAAATAATAAGAAAAAGAAAAAAAATAAGAATAATAATATAAAGATAATAATAATAATTATTATTATCATTATTATTATTAAAAGAATAAAAAAAAATGTCCTGATGTTACTCCAGGCATGGTTCTCATATTTTCTGATGTTAATTGATTAGAGGTGTTAACATACACTTTGGTGAATTACAGTAAATAACCTGTTTAGTACTACAGATTTGCTTGTCAGTTCCTTGACCTTACCAGCTGGGCATGTCCACTGCAATCTGATGCACTGTACATCTTGGTTTAGGCATAGGACTATTTGAAGAACATCATAGCAGGGTGTCCAGTGGGTTGCATTTTTGAAGGATGAAGTAACCAATTTGAGAGTCACATCTAGATACTTGGGAGCACCTCCAATCAGAGAATGCATTTCTAAATGGGCTCTACCTGCAAGGTTATGCACTAATTTTATCAAAACTTGTCACCATATTGCACTCATCTAGCTGTGATGCATGTGCTTGTTATATCCTTATCAGACTGGGTGTCATGATGGGGATATTAGTCTTAAAATATACAAACATGTTTCAATGAATAATATAGACATATTGTGTTTATTTATTTTTATGAGTTGTTGAATCAATTTTTTGATGTTAAGATGAAATTCATCAAGGAAGGCATCATAGTTTTTGCTGTTGTGATGATGATTTTTAAAAATTCAAATTCTCAAGGCCCTCTATATCAAAATCAACCAACCAACCAACCAATCAACACCCGACAAAATTTATTACAAATATAGCAACAACATATTAAAGTACATGTAACATTTAACATATTAAAGTACATATAACATTTAATGTCATTTTACATTTCTACTAATTTCCAGTCAGCTCTTTTATATTGAAACACTTGTTTTGTAAAAAAATTCCATAACTACAATGGATAAATTCTAAAACAATTATAACAGAGCAGAGTGTTTCTAAGAATTTCCATCACAACGGAGTGCAGATTTTATTGCAGTTACAATAAGTTGTCTTTGTAATTTACTGCTGAAGATGATCTTGAAAAACATCAAAGTACTTGAGCTAAAAAAAACTATGGCACCTTCCTTAAAGAATTTTGCACTCTCTCTTATTCAATAAAAATATGAAAATTATGAAAAATTAACCAGTTTATTTTCTTAAGTCACAAGAGGCAACCTGAAAAATTAACTTTTTCCTAATATTACATGCTATGCAGAGACAAATAATTATAATGCCCATCACTGTTGAAACACTTTGAATGGTCACAAAGAACCAAGTAAAAAAAAAAAAAAAAAAACTAAAGTCAAAATTTTTTAAACACATGAGTATAGCTAGAATACTGAGGAGACTTGCTGTTACTCATTTTCCAGCATAACCACCAGTTGCCTGGAATGAACATAAAAAAAAAAAAATTTTGAAAAAGGAAAACCTAGAAAGATGAAAAGCCCAAAATGCAACTTACAAATTGTCAATATCAACCAATTACAGAAGGTTAGGAGTAAGCGTTTTAACAGAGGATGGAAAATGTGACCCTGAGTTCTGAACACACAGACTAGCAAAAGGGGCATTCCAAAAGCCAAGCAAAGAGCTGAAAAATTCTAATAAAATATCCTTTTATATGGCAATGAATGCTGAATAATCTCCCCACAGATGAGGAGAAAACTGGAGGCAGAAGTGTGGTTCTACAGAATTCCATGGACGGAACAAGTAAGCGACAAAGTCTTAAAGAAAGTGGCAACAAAAAGAATACTTATGTTCAGAATCAAGAGAGGGTTAAATCCTTTAGACACAATGCGGAAGGAGGGCTTGGAAAACTTAACCCTCACAGGGAATATTGATGGTAAGAGAGATAGGGAAATCCAGCAAGCCACATACTCGGCAAGCTTGTGTGAATGGATGATGGAACTTTCTTCTTAGCAATAGTAGAAAAACAGTTAAGAGATACAAGGGACAGGAAGTTGTGGTGAGCCATGGCCATCCATGGCCTGAAGGTATGTGACACATAGATTGATTGATTGATTGATTGACTCATTTTCTACGAGTTATTAACCCTTTCTTAGTTATTTAAAGCCAGAAAATATTTTTAGATTGTAGGAAATTTTTTGAGATAATAATGGTTTAGTGATACAAGTCTTATTAATTAACCCTTAACTGGAGGGAGAAGAGCTTCCCTTTCCAAGGTTATTTGTACACAAGTGAATATAATAAACCTAACAAGAATTGCAACACAGCTCACAAATTAACAATTCCAAATCATTATCCATTACATTGCCCACACATCCAAGCTTACAGTACTTGATATTCCCAAGTGGTTACCCATCTAGGTACTGACCAAGCTTGATGTTGTTTAACTTCAGTGATCATACAGGAACCTGAGTTTCAACATGATATGGCTGTAAGCCATAGCACATAGTTGAAGATCAAATATTGGAGGTCATTGAAAGAACTTTGTTTATGGTCATTTTTAGACCAAGAATCAAAAGAACCATAAGGATTTTGTTTTACTTGTTGTATTAATCTTTTAATACTAATTGTCTTTGAGCAGAAATATACATGGTGGTAATAAAATAAAAAGAAAACAAAGGAAGCAATGATAATAGTGGAGTATCAGTGACAACCATGAATCAATATAAGAAAACCAGGCATACAAATAGTATCAGTACCCATAACATGAAATGATCTGTAATTGTTATTTAATAGCTATTTAGATGTCTACCAGTTTGCCTCCAGTTGCATAGCTACCAGGTTTGTTTTAAAAAAAATAAATATAATCAATTTTTGATGTATTAAGAATAGAAAAAAAAAATTCTGGCGTGGGACTTTTGAGATTCAAATAGATCACTATATCCAAGCCAGCAGACCAAATCTTGTTAGAAAATGAAAGCATCTCAAGAAGCGAGATGTTGCTGTTCTCACAGATTACAGAGAAAAACCAAAAAGAGTGAACAGCAGGAAAAATATCTAAAGCTTGCCAGAAGAATAAATAAATGTGGAAAATAAAGGGGACAATTGTAACCATTACTATTGGTGTGTTTGGAATAGTCCCAAAGAGTCTTTGCAAAAAAGATGTGAAGAATTGGACATCATTATGTCCTCATCTTTATTTATTTGTTTTCAGCTGTTTTACATGTCCAGCCTTCTTCAAATTTTTTGGAATTTTGAACTGAAAAAACATTATTTATATCACTGGGGTAGACTGTTCTATTAACTATGTTTTTAATGGATGTCAGTTATCTCCTGTTAATTTTCCCTCTGAAAGTTCTCCACTGTCTTAGCCAATCTAAAATGAACTCACAATCTTTGGGTTCTAACTGGATCTAACTAACATTTATCCACTAATTGCATGAATTTCTGGGTATTATAAACCTTAATGTTTGGGACAACCATTTTTACCAGTGCTCATATTGCATTTTTGGTCTTATCATTTGGAATTAATTGAGCTCAAATTGCCACTTTGGCTCATTGGTTCACATTCTCATAAGCTGGGGTCACATATTTCAAATTAATTGGTCCAAAAAATTTGGTGTTGCATTTAATACCATCTTTTAAAAATCAAATTTAATATATTGGGGTATTTCTAGCTAATTTTATTTTTAAATTACTTCAGGAAAATGAAAAAAGGTTTCTGGTGCTCTTAAAATTAATTTGGAAAAATTATAGAATATAATCCCAAATCAATTCTAAAATGGACTACCTGTAACTTATAAAGCATTTTTCACAAATTTTCAGACCATATGAAAATTAAATTTTTTAATGCATGTATTGTTGATATTTAAAAATCAATGTTCTTTCTTTGAATATTCAAAATAATTTACAGTCATTTGAACCTAAAAAGCGGCAAAAACTGGTTGTGAAAATCTATAATTTAATAAAAAAAGATTATGTTAATATATTAAATTTGTTAAATTATCTCTTAATAAATCATTATTTTTGTTCTTTTTTTTTCCAGGTATCTTTCATAAAAGGTGCATTTAAATTTTTTCTAAAATCCATTATTCAATCCATGGGAATAAACATTTTTAGATTCTGCTTTTAGGGACACAAAATCAAAATAAACTAGAAATTAACTCAAAAAGATCTCTCTAAACAAAGAACTTCAAAATAACATATCCATTTTTATTTGAAAGTATTTCATCAACAGCAATAACTAAAATTGATAACAAATGTCACTCGAAAAGAAAATAATACCTCACAACAACATAATGAAGATCGAAAACATTCCACTTACTAAAAACAAAACATTAGGATGGTTTGGTTTGGGCTGTTTTACGACATATCAACCTCAATGCGTTATTTAATGCTGACAAAATTTTTATTACTGGTAATTTTTTTTTTTTCTAAAAATTTATTGATGGTAATTTTTTTAGGAAGTATTTCTGGTATTAAAACCTATTTTTACATTTTCATAGTATTTTGAAAATATAGTTTGAAAAGAACCTTATTTTGCCCATTTGTTGGGGGCCTAATAGGTGCTACCACCCCGGGTCAGGGCATTTCACCTGGGAACATCAACATCAAAATTGAGGTGGTTTCACATTCCTTAAAACCTCCTGAACAGAGGCCTTGCTGTTGGGCATAGTTTATCGTCTTACCCAGGATACGGATGTAGTTTATCGTCATACCCAGGACAAACTTTAGGATGGAAACCTCTATCAATAGGGAAACAACTGATAACAACTAGTAGACTTGAGCAACCTATTTTCCTGAGAAACTATTTTAAGAGAAAGATGTGATAAATTTCAACTGATGGTAGATGAATGCCGAATGTTTCCTTATAAGAAAACAGCTGATATTAGCATTATGCATGGAAAGTGGAATGAGAACAGTTCATCCTTATACATTAAATGAAGGTTTCAGATCAAAATTTTAGATAGGTTACTGAGTACAACAGATATTGAATAAAACTGCAGGGCACAATATGCTGAAATGCTGTGAGTGTAACAATCATGGGAATACTGGATTAAATGAAAAGGTATATAATAATGTTAAAAATCTAGTAATATGTTTGGCTTAAATGTGTTTGAATTGAGAATCAGAATCCTACTGTGAATGCTGCTCTTAAAATTGATTGTTATTTTTTTTTTATACATTTTAAGATTCTAGAAACATTTTTAAAATGCATTTAAAAGGTTAAATTTAAGATCCAAAATATTTTCTATGTACATTTTTCAAACTATTGTCCTCATCTTTATTGTCATATTCCCGACATTTAAGCTGTTGTACACTCCTGCCCTCTTCAGGTGATATACATTGGAATTTCAAACTAAACCCTTTATTTCATCCACTGGGGTAAATTGTTCTAGTTTCATGTGCAATGTATTCCCTGGATATCTCAGTTTCAGCTATTAACGTCACAACATTTTGGGTCAAGTCACTGGATTACTTCAGTCAACACTTTTATCCACTGGACCAGAGGGTTATGAACATCTCTCATTACAAATTTTCTGAACAAAAACGTCTGAAGTGAGAAATAGTTTCTTGAGTGACAAACATGCAAACCAGCAACAACATGGAGTGACCAACCAGAAGTAACAGCAGAAGAGTTGCAGTGTAATTTACACTATCACTCTGATAAAACAGTAGCAAGTTATAGTATAAACATTTTCAATGACAATGCCATGTTTCATTTGAGAAACATTTTTAAAACAGACAATAATCTCATTGGACAAATTTTTAGTGAGGCAATGAGTCCCAAGCAAAGTTGTGTGGTACAAAGAGGCAGGAAAGAATAGACCGCAGAAAGACAGTTACCTAGTGTTTTTATGAAAGTTTGTATTTGTTTCATGTAGACTTACTGTAACTTACTGTGTAAACTGAAAGTTCTTTAAATTGAGCAGCATATGTGGCCAAGCATGATGGTCTTGTTCAAATTGTTGATCATGCCCTTCCAAACAATAACAACTCTCTCCTTCCACTTACACCATTAACTCTCTGTATAGATATGGTAAAATTTTTCATTATATTTTATCTGTTTTGTATTGTGTTTATCTTTTTTAGTGTTAGATTTAATTATTTTCATTGGCTGTGTGTATGAACTTGTGCACAAAGCACTGTTGTAAAAATTTAAATAAGCAATCATCTGGAGTTTAGGAATGGATCAATCCATTTAACATTGATTCCTTTGAAGAAAATAGTTTTGGTTTGCAAACATTTCAGATCATAAACGGGCTCCAAGTTCTTCATTACTGATAAATAAGTGAGTTCAGTCTTCATAATTTAATATATTGAAAAGTTAATATTAAAATGTTTAATTATGATTTTTGTCTTAAAAAACATATTTCTGGAATAAAAGAAATTAAAAAAATTATGCAAAAAATAGATTGTTCATTCCTTTATTAAAATCAATTTAACTTCAAAATAGTTTTATATTAAACACATGAATCATACCATATTTTTGCAATCATCATAATTCACAATCAACAGCAGTTCATAGAAACAAGCAAATAAATCAATAATTCTTCTACAAAATGTTCATCTGTCTAGACAGCTGTTAATGATTAAAAGAAAACATTCTTGTTGAAAAACAGCAGTTCTGATAAGCATTTCAAACCAAGTAAGGAGTCATATGTAATGAATACAAATCATGCTGCTCAATAAAAGAACTTTCAGTTTATACAGTAAGTCTATATGAAACAAATCCAACTTTCTATTTACACTATTTAAATCATTCAGCTGTTGTTCTCATGTTTATTGCTATATTCATGACATTTTGGCCATTGTACACTCTGACCTTCTTCAGGTGATATATGTTGGAATTTTGAACTGAACCCTTCATTTACTCCATGTGAGTAGATTGTTCCATATGCCATGCCATTTTTTTTTTTTTTTGGATATCAGTATTAGTTAATTCCTTTTTGTAACTCAACTTCCCAGTTTTTGTTCCCTCTGCTGTGGTCAAGTATTGAGCTCACAACTCTGGGTCAACTCACTTTTTGGATTACTGAACCAACACTTATCCACTGGGCCATGTGACCTTGGAGAGTTGAGTTACTAAAGTTGAGTTACAATGGCTGAAATGTCATGAATATGTTAATAAAAATGTGGAAAAGAGTCTGAATGATGTAAATAGTTACAATACCTCGCCTCTTATGGGCACGTGGCCCAGTGGTTAGAACGTTTGCATTCTGACTATGAGACCAGATTTTGAATCTCACCATGGTTGATTTGTCAGAAAGTTATCGGACTGGAGGGTTGATCCCTGTGTGTGGCACCTTTGGAAAGTGCCTGAAAACCATACCACAGTTTAACCCAAGCCTTGTGAGTGAAATTGGATAGATGGAACACTTGAGTGTTGTCGATTGATGTCCTGTCACAAGTGACTGTGGCCGAGCGTGATGGTCTTGTTCAAATTGTTGATCATGCTAGATAACATGCTCTTTCCCAGAAACCATAACTAAGG